TTTCTAGATTCTAACTTGTATCTGTAACTCAGATACTTCAATGTGATTGGTTCTGATCCAGAGGGAAGGCTCGGTGAAGCCCCCCGACCCGAACTACGTGAACATGGACGAATATCAGGAGCTTGCTTTGATGCTGCTCGTGGGATTATCCCAGGCCTTAAGGTCTTTTGATTTCCCTGCTCAACATAATTTTTTTTCCCATGCTGTAGACTTGTAATTTGCAAGCACAGATCAAATCAAATGAGAGATTTATTTAAGTTTTTGCAATTTAATCACCCCCTTTTTTCCGTCTGTACCAAGTCAGCCACGTAGACTTCAGTTTATGACTTGCCAAGTCAGCTCCAATCTAACAGAAGTTAAATTTATGATTTGATAAGCAAAAACATATGAAAGATGGCAATTTAAACGCAAATAGCAAAAGATGGTGATTAAATTGTAAAAATCTTAAAGGTGGTGTCTTTATATGCAATTTATTTATTTCGATAATGAAGGTTAGAGGAACGGATTACAAGACTAAAGATGGTACGTGCATACGAGATTACATCGACGTTACTGATTTGGTTGATGCTCACGTGAAAGCTCTGGAGAAAGCAAAACCAGGGAAAATCGGGATTTATAACGTTGGTACAGGAAAAGGTAACAACATCTCAACCTTTTACACCATTTGATGAATTCTTAAATTAGAATTCATCTNNNNTTTGCATTACAAACACAAACTTTCCTCAAACAAAATTGTAAGTGTGTTTTACTTTTTCACATATGCTTTGCTTCTCACATGGTTAAATATATATATTTATATGTATTATAGGAAGATCTGTGCAAGAGTTTGTGGAGGCTTGCAAGAAAGCAACTGGGATTGCCATAAAAGTCGAGCTTCTTCCCAGGCGACCTGGCGACTATGCGGAAGTATACAGTGACCCGACCAAAATCAAGAATGAACTCAACTGGACAGCAAAATACACTAACCTTGAACTAAGTCTTCAGGTCGCGTGGAGATGGCAAAAGGCACACCTTAACGGGTACGAAACGACCCCTCGATTGATGTCAGCGTAAATATAATATAATATAACAGATGTTAAGTTTCTGGAGAGGGAAGACTAACATGAAGAAGAAGAAGATAAAGAAGAAGAATAAAACCTTATTAGATAAGCCTAGTATTTTTGGTTAAGTCCTATTTTTTTTTTTTCCCCGATTTTATTAGTGTTTTGAGGAGAGAGGTTTGATGTGAGTCTTTTTACATCGCTATTCGACTATATTGCATAGATTGGGTAGGGACGGGTCGGATTTATATTGATGCTGTCTCATAAACGATATTTTTTTAATTGGAATAAGTTATGCTATTAGTTGAACATGTAAGAGTGCATGAGTATCAAACAATTGTCATCAATTAGTGGTGACAATGGTTGACATGACATAAAACACGACACAACTAGAAAAAACACAATTATTAGAGGTAAACGAAACGATGGGCATGATGCGACTCGAAAATCGAACACAAAAAATACAAAATAAGAAATTTAGTTAAATCTGAACTTATTATCATTTTGATTCGTTTTTCTCTATGAATATGTGACTTTTGATGATTTTATAGTTGTAAAAGACAATGGAGAATGTAAAATTAACACAATATGTTTCTATGAGTATCCCAAATCGATCTTTTTAATATTCCATTGTTTAAATTTAATATTCCATTGTTTAAATTTTTGGAATTTTATAATTGTAGAGTATTGATTCAACAATACTAGGGTGTACATAGTAGGTTCATAAATTGGTTACAAAAATTGCCGGAAATTCAAAAGCCATTCTTATTCATTACCTCAATCATTCATACAAGGGTAATTTAGTAAATCTCATTTCTCACAATTAAAATTATCAACCGGGTGTGGCAGAAAGAGCTTATCCATATTTGCACCGTTCAATTTCCCAAGACCCGGCGGCTGCCCCTGCCGCGGGATGCAAGAAACCGGCGGAGTTAGTAATAAACGTTCAACTTTAAATATGGAAACTTTCTAAGCAGCCGCCGGTGGGATGCAGGAAACCGGCGGAGTTTGTAACAACTAATAAACGTTCAACTTTAATTATTAAAACTTTATAAAATGAGTGCGTTCGATTCCATTGAATTATTTAAAAAAAAAAAGAAAGAAGGAAAGAAAAGGAAAAAGGAAAAGGGAAAAAGGATGGGAATTGAAAGACGAAGGAACTTTCTGTAACTGTAAGTGAATGAAAAATAAAAAAGTATGGAGATGCGGGGTATCGATCCCCGTACCTCTCGCATGCTAAGCGAGCGCTCTACCATCTGAGCTACATCCCCTTGGTGATCTAATGCTTTCTAAGTTCATTTAGATATCCCATTGGTGATCTAATGCTTTCTAAGTTAATTTAGATATCTTTCTCTGTAGGACATTGACGCTAAAATTTCAAGAGTTGGATTACTGTGCCTGATTTTGCCAGATTGATTTTCCCAACCAGCTTACATATTCCCTTCCGCTTCACCTACTCTTATGGATCTGAATGATATAATATATATGTGCATGTATTTCAAGTTCACTTGACAAAGTAATGCTACTTTAACATAATATTGTAACATAAATGTTGATATAATTGATATAGTTGATATATAAGAATAGGATTTATTGATGTGATATGTAAAACCATAAAATATTATCATGTGTGTATTGATGTGACGTGTAAAACCGTAAAATTTTGTCATGTCTGTATAATGCATCACTCATTATTTTTGTATAGTATGGTCCCTTACACATTATCTGGTCCCCAAACCTGTTGGAACAGAACAAATACTAAAGAAAAATTGGCCTTCATCATGCGAGTTCAGCAAACTCCAAACTAATATGCTGTTACAAAAAAATAAATAGTAGTGGTGCGCGAAAAAAGTTTGTCCAATTGGAATGATTCGGATTTGAGTGACAAAATTTTAGTGCTCTAACGGCAATCTTAACTTGTGGTATCGTACAACCATAGAAACAAACGACAAGCCATAACGAGAGCAATAGTCGAAAATTGGTTTTTAGCAATTGGTACACCAAAAAGTTACTTCATTTGTTTNNNNAGAAATTTAGATAAACAAACAATAAATCTCATACTTAGGGCCAACCCCAACTCCTCATGCAACTGTTTGAACTGCCCTGTCGAAACTCTCTTCTGCAGTCGATGCACGTTTTACTAATATGTGCTCTGGGTCCGACAGTTTCAATTGGCTGAGAAGAAGCAAAACAAAGAAAACACGTAAATATTATTGCAACAACATTATAAAGCAAGAGATTTAGGTGATGAATTTAAAGTACCATAAGTAAATTCAAACAAACAAACCAAAAGAAATGAGAGTCATTCTGTTCACGATATTTCTCCTCAAAAAATGGCTATTCCAATTCTGAAAAATAATTTGAGGATCTTATTTCAGTGCACACCAACTTCCATTTCACAAACCTGAGATAGCGTGATGATGGCTTCCCAAGGTGAAGACTGCAGACAACAAGGTTTGCAAGAGTTTCAGGATCCTTGGCATCCTGCACGCCATAAAAAATCTCATGTTACGCAAAAGAAAGAGAGAACCTAATCGAAAAGAAAAAAACTAAATAATCTCCATCACAAATTCAAGATTAAAAAAAAGCGCATATTAGACTTAAATGGAAAAGAAAATATTGAACAGGAAGTATCATGTTTCAGTATAGAATTGTTACACACAACTAAAATTAAAAGAAATATTCTGGTTGGCAACCTATTTAAACTCCACCTTGTTCAAGGCCTCAAGCAGAAGTGTCTCAGCCTCATCAAATTCGCCCTTGTGCATGCAGCAAACAGCTTTACCATTCAGTATCAAACTAGTCATTGGGTACTTCTCTGAGAAGTCCTGGAAAATAAGATATGCTTCTTGGATCTTTGAACCACCCTGGCAAATACAAATAGCCAAATAGGTAAAGTTATACAAATCCTCAGTTTTAAATCATGCAAAAAAAAAAAAATATATATATATATATATATATATAGATCATGGAATAAATTTTTTACCACAGCCAAGTTTAGCCATGCATTAGCAAGTTGAGTTAGGGTGTGGTCTTCGTCTATTCCTTGCATGACTCTCAATTGTTTCTCTGCATAATCTGATCGGTGCATCTTGAGAAAAATTTGGACATTCAAAGCATACCTGCAGGAAGCTTAATGTTGTCAAGCCCATGACTGTTAACATATATTGATATCTAAGTTTTAAATCCGCCAAAACAGAAACACAGACATGTAAATGGAAAAAGACAAGTAGCCTCACAAACTGGAACCTCACATGTTGCACAAACAGTACATGCAAACTTAACTGGAATAAGTCGAGTAGCCTCACAAACTGAAAAACTCGAAATGAGCATCAAATTTCGTAAAAATATGTAGAATACGGAATAATTCACAATTTTCAATCATGTTCTTTATTGGATTTGAAATAAATTAGGCATTTCTTCGCGAAGTAAAATTTATGAAAACACGTTTTTGGGAGTCGAAAGGGAATCGTGGAGGATGAAGATCAGTTAGGTTGTATCCTAAAAACTTCTAAAAATACTGTATGCATGAAACTTCCATATTGAAATATTTAAACAACATATTTTTATTCAAGCAATCACTAACAGTTCCATTGTTCCCCCATTATTTGTATGCTTCAATGCCTCATTGTAATCCTGTTCATGCATGAATATAATTCCTGCAATAAGACGTAAGATCGGGTTGTTTCCAATGGCTGGATCTCCTAACCACTCATGGAGGCTTGAAATTGCCATTTCCTACACATGTATTAGCGAAGCACGGTTAGAATAATCATCATGCAAAGCAATTACCAATAAAATTACTACTCACATGAGATTCATTTCAACATGCAACAATTGGGAAAAAAATAATTGAAATAAAGTGCATTCGATTGGTAAAATAAAAGTTATATCTTTCATCCCCAAAGTTTTACATGTAAATTCTACCGTCATTTTCAGTAAAACATGCTACATTCATTATGTTGTGTACTATGCTGTCTCAGTATATTTATCTCTAGAATTCCATATCAGTTATTTTCATATATATATTTCACATTCTTCCAAGATAGAAAAAAAAAAAAAAATCTTCTCCACCGTAAGATCTAAACATATCCTCCTAATCTACTTAAAAGCTGCAATCCTACTCCCTAAAGATAAAGATGCAAACAATTCAACACTTCCATGTCTAACTTTAAGAAAGACTGCACAAACTATTTCATAGTTCTCGAAAACCAAAAGAAATAGAAAAGCAATTCATGAATTCTCACGAGGGACTGCATAAACCATGTCACTGCTATGAGCTATCAGCCTATCGCTTATCACCTCCAAATCTGCATTTTTCTTTAAGAGAATCAGTCCATATACTTGAACCCAATTCACAGGTAAAACCTGGAATATTTTTCTCCTTGAGACCATTCTCAATTAATCTATAGTTCTATACTCCGGTAAGAAATAGCGAACTTGGAACCTTCACTAGAGATTTGGCAATTCCAGATCCACATCGAAAAATTCAAACCAATACAACGGGTTTAATAAATCTTATTAAGTACCCACAGATCAAATGCATTTATTAAAAAAAAAAAACAGGAATCACCTTGTTTGCAGGGCTCGAGAGATACAGAGCAAGCAGCTTCACAGCCTGAAGTGGCGTTGCCGCAGCTGAATCAATCTCACTAATAACAAGCTACGCACCAAAAGATCAAAGAAAATGAACAAGTTACACGAGTCACATCCAGCTCATAAAAACACATAGCACAAAAACCTAAAAAAAATTGAATGAAACTACAACAGATCGACAAAATAACAATCACGAGCCTCCCAATCGAAGCATAATCAGATCTTACCTGGTAACTTCCAAGCGCAATATAAGAGCGGTAAACGAGAGAATCCCTCTCGACGACTTCGTCTGAGGAAAGGTTAGGGATTTCGCTGTTGTTGATCGCCGCCTGGTACGCGCCTAGGTAGAAATTGTTCCTCAATCCGAATAGCGGATCGGGTCCTCCGGCCGCTGCCATTGTTCGGATTTCTGTTCGTTTTGGGTGCTTACAAATTTTCCGGCAAAAATTAGATCGTAAGAATGGAGGACGATGCGAGTGCAACCGAATCAATTTTATTAGGGCCTTTTATATATATATATATATCTATAGCAATATAAAGAGGTTGTTGGAAAAATATTTTTATAGTAAGTTTGACTAAAAAAATAAATAGTTTGACTTACTATTAATGGAAATTTCGAAAAAAACACATGTACCAAAAAAATTTGAGATTTTTATGGTAACAAATTTGGAGATTTTTATGGTAACAAATTTAATTGAGATATCCCAAAAAAATTGGAAATTTTTATGGTAACAAATTTGAATACCAAAATTTAATTCATTTTAAATATTAATCCATAGGAATCTATTTTTATTGGTAACAAATTTAAAGATTGTTATGCCAAAAAATTAAGATTTTGAATTGAGATATTCCAACAATCACGGATCATTTTCTCATTCAAATCAATGTTGTAAATCAAACAAAAAATTATTCCAAAAATAATGGATGTTATATCAACTATTGATAAACTCCAATCCCATAGGAGATTTCTATGAGATTTTTATGGTAACAAATTGGAGATTCTTATGCCAAAAAATTAGGATTTTGAATTGAAATATCCTAACAATTTCGGATTTTTCCCCCTTCAATTCATGATGGAAATCAAACAAAAAATTGTTCCGAGAATAATGGATGTTATACCAAATATTGATAGACTCCAATCCATAGGAGATTTTTATGGGTTTCTTATGGTAACAAATTGAAGATTCTTATGGTAACAAATTTGGAGATTCTTATACCAAAAATTAATTCATTTTAAATATTAATCTCATAGGAATCTATTTTTATTGGTAACAAATTTGAAGATTCTTATGCCAAAAAATTGAGATTTTGAATTGAGATATATCTCAACAATTACGGATTTTTTTCCATTCAAATTAATGTTGTAAATCAAACAAAAAATTATTCTGAAATAATGGATGCTATACTAAATTAATATCACTGGGCCCACACGTTAATATGATATTAATTAGATAGATAAATTACGTAAATCTTTCCTAACAAAATGCGTTCCAATATTGTTAACCAATTTAATGGGATTTTCTTAACTAATTTGATAGGATTTTGGTAACCACGAAATTTTGTTAGCTTTTCATGGAAACACGAATCTTCATTATGATAAGGTTTGATAAGATTTTGTTTCCAATTTTTTTTTTTTCCTCTCTCGAAAATTTGATAAGGTTTGATAAGATTTTGTTTCTTTTTTTTTTCTCTCTCTCGAAAATTTGAGTCGTGGATTTGAAAAAAAATAAATAAATAAAATAAACATATCATATTGATAAAGTTTTAGTGTGGGCATAAAAATCAATTTTGATTTGATTGAACTTTGTTTCATATAAATCTAAGAAAATCAGACGTTTGAAAAAATATAATATTAATAGTAAATAATCATACCATATTTGTAAGGTTTGATTTGGAATATTGAGACATAAAAATCAATTATGATTTGATCACATTTTGTTTTATAGAAGTTATCTTATAAAATTTTACAAGCTTCAAAAAATTAAAGATTATAATTGCGTAAATTAAATTTCTGGATTTGTCCAGATAAATAGATCAAAATAAAAATATTATTTTTCAATCTATCTAAAAAGTCTTACCAAATTTCACTGTAACAAACTCCATTATTTTTTGCTACATAATCTTCTAAATATTCGTTCGTCCTTCACAAGTGAATCACATTCCACTTTTTTTTTTTTTAACAAAACCGATAACACATATTTTTAGAAGTCAATCATAATCATAATAAAAAAAATCGGATCGAATCATATTAAATAACTTACGTAAATATATTTTTATTTCCCAGACATATGGCACATACACGACTATATAAACATCACCAACGTTGAACAAAAAGTATTCGAATTCCAATATATCCCCCAAAACAATTTTTTCTACAAGCTTTTACATCAACATTGAAAATGACTTTAGATTTTGGAGTAATCAAGGATATCAAAAGATCCAATAAGCCACCAATCAAGCTACGGATAATTAGGATGTTCCAACGAGTTGAAGACGTACGCAATTACCGAAATGTTCTTGAGATTATCTTTCATGATTTTGAGGTAATATATTCATTTAGTATTATTTAAATGCATTATTTTATGCAACATCTTTTATAATTTATTTATTGAAGTATTCATTATGCGATGTTTAGGGAGGATGAATTACTGACATAATTCGACCTGTCAATATCCAAAAAATCATCGGTGATATTGAAGAAGGTGGCGCTTATATCTTGACAAACTATCAAGTGGAAAGCAATATTTGCATCCATAAATCGACGATAGAAAAAAGGAGGATCATTATCAATGGCTGGATGATTTTTCTATTTCTAACTTTAATGGATGTTCGTAACATTGATGAAGTCATGTTGTTTGGTACGTTATAATTTTTTTGTTTATTTCTTATTTCGATTTTTTTTAATTTAAAATCTGTAATAAACTATTTTATATGTTATACATTTCAATATGATGCATTTTCTTATATTTTTGTAGATGTTATTGGATTGATTGTTTCTCATTATGTTTTCTTACAACATGACTATAAATAAGAGCCAGAAACAATCATTATCACATGTGCGCTTATTTCATAAAAAACCAGTGTTTAGTCATGACCAATTGTATGTTGCTGTCTCCCGTGTCACAAACAGAAATGGGTTTGAAAGTCCTAATTTGTGGCGATGATGACGTGCCAAAGAATCAAACCATGAACGTTACATATAAGGAAGTGTTTAATAAAATTTAGATTTTATTATCATTGTATTTATTAATTTATTTATTATTAATGGCATGATCTTTCCTTTAGTAAGTAGTTTGAATTTTAACTAAACATTATTTTATAAAAGGGATGGAGATAATAAACCTCCGTGCATCGCACGGGGACTGTACTAGTATATATAAAGAGGTTGTTGGAAAAATATATTAATAGAAAGTTTGACCAAATAAATATAATGTTTGACTTACTATTAATGGAAAGTTAAAAAAAATACATGTGATCTTTAGTAACAAAATCTGAATCCTAATTTTTTGGTAACTAATTTGGAGATTCTTATGGCAAAATTTGAATCTCATTTTTTTCGTATCATATTTTATTTTTTTACCAAAATTTAAATCATATATTTTTTGGTAACAAATTTAGAGATTCTTATGCAAAAAATGTGTCAATTATTTATGAAAACAATTCTAAATACACATTAACTTAAAAACCGTACAAATTAGATACAAATTTTGGAAACAAATAGTTGTATAATTTTTAACTAATTCTTTCAATTTTATTGAATAATTTTTTCTTTCAAAAAAAAGTGTGTAAATTGGATAAAACCACGTTCAATTTTTATTTTAAAATAAAACTGATATTTAGATGGGATGTACATTCAAAATTGTGTCCACATTTTTTGGTAACAAAAGCAGTTCATCTTTGATATTTAAAAATTAAAAAAATCTTAAAATATCCTTAAATATTTAACTTATTTGAGATCAAGATTTGTTAGGTCTTTTTAAGATTAGTTATGATTTAAAAAAAAAAATCATTATACAAAATTTCACTCTAAATCTCACATTCACACTTAAGATTTTATAGTATTCCTCTAGAATTTGACCATCTTAAAAGTCTCAAATCTTAAAAATCTCAAAGTGGCACTCAAAATCCTAAACGAATACATATTATCTACCTATATCGTCAATTTACAATTATTATTTAATATTATTTATCCGTGCATCGCACAGGCCACATACTAGTATATAATAAATACATTACACAAAACGCAAACTATTGTTAGATTGATTAAATTTTAAGAGCATGTTTGTTTATGAAAATTTTTGATTTTATTTAGATTTTTTGGTTTGGTTTGGTTAATTTTGAAAAAGTGTTATGGTTAGTTATTAGTGAGTATATTAAAATAATATTTAAAATAAAAAAAATTAAAATTAATTTGATGTAATAGTAGGAGAGAGATGATTGAAGTGATGGTTAGTTAAAATAATGTGAGTGGATGAATAATGAATTAAAGTTGATGTGGTGTGTATGAATGATGGATTGATATTATTTAATTATATTAATAATATTATTGATAGTGGGGTTGAGTTAAAGTTGAGTTAAAAAAATGGTTGAGTTAAAATGTGAAATTTTTTTGAAAATTTTTCATAAACAAACATGCTCTAAGTCTTCAATCAATTTTTAATGAATAAAATATAATTATTTTGTACTGCTTTGTACATTTAATTATAATTATTTAAATATGTATAAATATAAAACACCAATTACGTTCTACCTATACTATAAATATATTAATTAGTTAAAATTTAATTGAATTTATTTTGATAATGCAGACACCAACATTAAAATTGACAAAAATCCAATTTCATGTGTGTGGATTCGTAACAACAGTTGGTTTTCTAATTCGAGTTTGATTAGTAAAGGTTTAATGAGAACATGAGTCTCAAATTAAAACCTTGAACATGAGTCTCTTCTATTATGAAAATAAAATAAATACAATCAATGAAAAATATATAATATTAATTATTTTTCTTTATACAATATTTTTTATTTAAGGAATATTATTAAACCTTACGGTTTTGATTTGTTTTTTTAAATCAATAATCCAAAATATATGATTGTTAACGTACAAAAAATAATGGAAATAATCCAGACTTTAAAGTAAAGCTATTTTTTATTATTTTACAAATAAAAATATTCCAATTTTTTTTTTACTTTCATAAAAAAATTTGGCAAGTTTGATAATGAGTTAAATCAAGTTATACAAATGATTAAATAGTTAAAATGTTATATTAATTATATTTTAAGAAATCCGATTATATAAAAATGGGTAAAAAAATATTATACTAATTAGTTTGTTAGGATTGTGATTATATGAAAGTTAAAATAAAATGAAATGTAACCAAAAAATTTGTTCGTGGTTTTTTTCCTAAATGTTTGAATTTAAAAATCTGGTAACCAAATTTACATTATATCACGTAAGGAAAAAAATAAATAATAAATATTTATTAAAGAGATAAATCAATAATATTTATCACTTAGATAAGAAATAATAAATATTTACATGTAAAAAAATAAATAATAATATATTTAAAAATATAAGTCAGAATTTCAAATAAAGTAAAAGGAGGGATAACTCATTTTTTAAAAAAAGTTTCTAAATATTTAATATATTGATAAGTATCTCCATAAGAATAATCATACCATTTTAATTTTAAAAAAATTGGCAAGTTTGTTAGAGAGATAAATCCGGTTAGACAAATGATTTATTTGTTAAGATATTATATTAATTGTATCATAAAAAATCGGTTAGATAATGTAGATAAAAAAATATAATACTAATTAGTTTGTTAGAAATGTGATAATGAAAACCAAGATAAAATGAAATTTACCCAAAAAAATTGTTTGGAATCTTTTCCTTTAAATGTTTGAATTTACAAATTTAATACCGAAATTCTATTATATCACATAAGGAAAAAATAAATAATAAACGTTTATTAATATATTAAAATATGTAATTTTGAAGTTCATATAAAATAAAAGGTATGCTTATTCAAATTTATTTTTAAAATAAAAGTTATGATAAACATTTATTGATTCTCTTTCAAATATATTAATAAAATAAAAATATAAATCTAAACAAATTTTGAAACAACCAAAAAAATCAGATTGATTGGCATAAAAAAAGGAAGTGAAATCGGATTTGAATGCTAAAATCGGAACACCTTACCAAATTGAATGCTAAAAGATTCGATTTGATTGGTTACCTAATTGCATGGGCTGAAAAAATTCAAAAACAAATTTTACGAATTGAAGAAGCGGGAAAAACACTATATTGAAGCGGAAAAACGAAATGATTATTTTCGGATTGTTCAAATAATTTTTCTTCTCCTCCGTATTATATAGTAATAGATCATACATGATAAAAATATAAAACTTAACAATTTAAATTTGTAAATGTATAATTGTTGTGTTTATAGTCTGTTGGACTCTCTACAACCGATAGATGTCGGGATTGTAATTTGAGGTGTACTTACAAATATGTACGGTATTGATCAAGTTGTAAGGTGTTACTAGAGCTGTTAACGAATCCAATGTTCGCGAACAAAGCTCATTCGAGCTCGTATATTTCAACAAAAGCTCGTTCATTTGTTAATCGAGTCGAGATCAAACAAAAATTAAACTCGTTTTATAATCGAACGAAAACGAGCTCATTCGCGAATGTTCGATAATGTTCTTATTTTATTGTTTATATATTTACATGATAGTATTAATAAAAAGTCTAAATACAAAAATTTTTATTTCATTTTTTTTGTTTTTCGAGTTTGATCAAGTCCGAACGAACAAATTTCGAGTTAATCAAATATTTTTAAAAAGTTTTATATCCTAAATTATTCGAACACGAACGAACTTAAACTTTGACGAACAATTAAACGAACGAGCTCAAACATGATTTTTTGCTCGAAAAATAAACGAACGAACACGAAGTTCGAACTTAAATGGGCACGAGCTCGAAACGCCCAAGCTCGGATTGTTCGTTCGATTACAGCACTATACTTTACACTTTACAGCGCTGTTAATAAAACTGCAAAAGACATACAAATATGCAGTAGCTATGACCTGAATTCTACAAAACCTTGCTTCCTTCATTCATAAGAGAATTTCTAAAAACACGCATCCCGTTTTCTTTGGCTATCACGGCTGTGCACCTGCGATTTCATGTGCAAATTATGAATAGTTACGCCAACGAAAGAGAAGAAAAAAAGAAATGACGAAAAAGAAAACAAAAAAAAAACAAAGAAAAATACTCTGAACTCACGGGATTCTGGAAATGACGCCATGCTCAATTACGCCAGCTACCTGATCAAGACTATCTGCCACTTCACCTGCATGAAATGAAAAAAAAAATCCCATAGTAATGAATAAACTATAAGAAAATTCGCGCAAAATGGGAGATTTAAAAAATAAAAAAGGATGTATAATTGTATTTTGTACCAAGGTTTTGAATCGGAGATGTAAAGATTACATCAAGAACGTTATGTCCTTCTCTAGTGACGAGCGGGAAATCACCTCCTAATGGGCCCGCGTATCCTACAGCCGGTCTTCTCCAGACCTTTTGGTATAATATAAAGAAAAAGAATGCAGTTTCAGAATTTTGGATATGTAATTATACTTGGGCTGCAACAAATATCAAGCATTATATATAATATTGTTGTTGAGTAATATGATTGAAAATCATACTAGTTTGATTGATTACCTCAGCATCACCAAGAAACAGGTCGTCTATTTCCTCAGCAGTTTCTAACCAGTTGACCTGAGGATGAGATGTACTGGGAAGTGTAAAATTTTACACACATTTATCATTGTAACTTCAAAAGAACTTTCATTTAGCCTTACAGAGTTGATTAGAACTGGAATTGATCCATCTACAACACCTTGATACTGCTTGGCTGTACAAATGAGAACCAGTTTTCCAGCTGCTCTCAGTATGGCCTGACAAGCTGAATTAATCAGTGTATCTGAACAAAAAATCTCGACGTCTAAAGGAACTCATATGCTTAACTAATGGTAAAATCTAAGTCATGGATTCGTATTTACAAATTAACAGAATAATTTATGATCATAAATAACTCATAAAGAAAAATGCTTGTAATGATTTCACCATGGTGCTGAAGAAAAGGGAATCTTTAATGAAAAACTTGAAAGAAAAACACCACAAGATGATAGTATTTTATGTGTATCATTCAAATGGCATTTCAGGTGCTGAAGATAATGATTTTTTTTTTTTTAACTTTTGACTGACCTTTTCTTGGATTATGGACTCACCACCCAGCAACTTCTTACGACCAATAACTGCTACTAGTGACTCTTCTTCTATGACATCAGCATCAATGAACGCTATATCAATCTACAGACAAGGACAAGAAATCTGGTTACTTGCGAGAACTCAAAAGTCAAAACTAATATTGTTATCGAGCAGCGATAATTTGAATTTTGAGTTCCTACCAATATACACATTATAATAATTTGATGCAACTTTAGCATGTCAAGAATGAGCACAAGATTCATCAGCTCTTGTTTCCTGACAATATATAGCAACATTAATTTTGCTTAACTATACCACAGAACACGGATACACAATAATACGTGTATAATGGTCCCAAGAAACTACCATGCGTCCAAATACATGTCAGAACATCACCATACAAATCCAATTCCACAACAACAACAACAACATAGCCTTTTAGTCCCAAGCAAGTTGGGGTAGGCTAGAGATGAAACCCAAGAGAACCAATGGTAAGAGAAACACAAGAAGGGCTCAAAACAAAAGGAAGAGATTGGAGCAAAAAGAGAAAGGAGCAAAAGTCACGGTGAAAATACAAATCCAATTTCAAACATCATAAAATAATTATTTAAGGGTGTAAGAATTTGTAAACAACACCGAAGATTTGCTCACTTTGGAGCTGTCTCTATATTCAGCCAAAGGGACACCTGCCTTTGCTGCCTCACTTGCACTGTCGACAGATCTGCATTTACAGTTTGCTAGTTACTCCTAATGAAGAAACGGAGAGATAGACTGTAAGTGACAATCAAATGCTGATAATTGGTTCCTTTAAGTGATAACTACTTAGCACCTATTCAAGTACTCGTTCAAATCACCAAAATTCAGAACATGTGGCTATGTAAAGAAGGGAAGCATTATTGCTACATTGAGGCGATATAGAAGGATGCCATTCGACAGCCAAAATAACTAAGCCAACGGTTGGAATAGACTAACAGCAACTCTAAAAAACATAGCAAAGAAAAACGAGACAATTGTAAGATGATCATTTTCCCTAAAATAAGTT